TGGTTCAGATTTTAATTGAAGATATCCGCGGGTGACGGGTCAGGTTCGGTAGTCATCCTAACGGGTTGGTAAAACTCGACCCGTGCAGGACTCTAGGTGCCATATCCATAGCCCACCCACCCACTGCCCAGGTGTGGTGAAGATAAAGTGATAAAGTTAAAACTGAACATCAGAATGAAATGACTATGAGCATGGGATGGTTGCTGGTGCTGGTTGAGTTTGTCTAAACATTGCAAGCACTTTTGAACTACTGGGTTGTTGATGCAGAATTATTTTTTGTTAATAAAGAATAGACAAAAAAATCTGTGAACAATATCTTTTTATGTTGCAAAGACCAAAGGATATTGGACACAATGGATCTCAGACTAAAAAACATTAAACCTTGCAGCAGATGGGCTAAACCCCAGATGTCAGCTGAATAAGAAACTCTTGGAACAATTCAAACTCTGGACTATAACAGATTGGAAAAACATTGCCCAGTTTGACCTGTCTCAAATGGGAGGGTCACCATTTTGTGCAAACAAAAGCAAACCTTTTGGTTCTTAATTGCTAAGGTTGATGATGGTGGTGTAGCCATATTTTCTTTCTTTACTTCCCTTCGGATTATGGACCGTGTCACAAAGCTTACATCATGTCAAAAAGGTTTCTTGAACATAGTATTGAAATAACTGAACAGCAGTGGCTTCCACTGTCATTAGATCAATATCCAAAAGAGCATCTGTTAGATGTACTTATAAGATAAATATGTTGACCTCATTATGGTACTGAAACGGGAATTTGAGGTAGCTCTTAAAGTGAAAGGCTGGACAACCTAGTTCTTGTGGATCTCAATGCCCATGTAGTATTGGCCATTTGATATAAAATAAATGTTACCCATTTTGTATTTTTTTTTTCATAAAATCAAACCAGCTGCACTGTAACCTATCTAAAAGCCAAATGGAATTCACTTTTTTCTACCTGCACATATTCCTGTCTGTAAAGACACAGGAAGAGATAGAGGCTCTCTGAACATACCTGAAGGTCAACTAAGGGAACAATTCATTTCTGTGCTTTCCCCTAATTTATTGTTGGTGTGCAGTTTGAAGGTACTGCTTTGGAGAAAAGCCCAGACAAAAGCAGTTTCTCAAGAGCGCTGTATGATTTGATAATAAAATTTTATTATTTTTTTTCATCTAATCTGTCATGCATCTCAACGCCAAGCACTATACTGTAATAGTGAAGCACATACAAGTAAATGTATTTCCATCCTAGGGTCATTCCAAATGTGATAATGTTAGCAGGATGCTTGGAAAACAGGACTCATGGCCGAGAAGATCAGAAGTGGCAATTCAGTGTATTTTCTTGTTGCTGATGAAGTGTCAAGAATCTCTTTTTTTATTTTTTTTCGTCAGGAGAAAGACTGCAATGATGCTTATAGCCGTTATTTATTTCCTTTTTTCTCACATAGGAGGCTTTACCTGACATCCCATCAAGAGTTGGCATTTTATGTGCTCTGCACCTTAAAAGCAGGTTCAAGGCACCTCTGTGCTTCATCGTATTACCAATCAGATCAGGTTGTTTTGTGTGCAGTTCCTGCAGCTCCATTTTTCTTCCCAGAGCACTACATCTAGAGTGATTGTTGACCTCATCATCACAATATGTAGGAGATGTTGATGAGGGTAGAAAAAATAATTGCTATAAAACTAAATTAAAGATGGAATGCCTTGGAAATGCTGGCTTATCCAGCCTGGAAATTGAAATGTGTCTAAATTAAAGAAACTAAGAATTTCCGCTCTGTCCATATGTGCCTGAATATGTTGCTAAAACTGGAGATGATGATGCATTTGGGGATCTTATCCACGGTTAAATGGCCTAATAGGTGGGAGAAACTGAGAAATTGGTTTGAAAAACTCCAACCGAAGTAAATGTTAAAATATTGTATTTTCTACATACATATTCATTTTATTTGACTAATTATTTTAATGATTTTAATAAATTAAAAAAAATGTAAATTAGAATAGATAACAATTTTAAGTAACTGCAATTTAACTTTTTAATCATTTTGCCTACAGCAAGTAGCTCGACTAATTTTCTGCTATTAACTTCTAGTTTGCAACTGCGTCAATATCAGACTGATTGAAAAATTTAATATAGATGTCAGCTTCCTCCAAATAGGTAATAGGCTAACACCAAATGTATATATATTCACAGTATCTTATAAACTCAATGTAAAGTACAAGATTTTCAATATTTTAGCAGCAATTGCACAATTGTTTTTTCTTGAAATTTTAAATAAACGCAGTGAAATGATGACGCATTTTGTTTAGAATCTTTTGTATTAATAGGGTAAAGTGGAGGATTATTCTCTTAACTACTGGGGAAAACATCAGTTCTGACACACAACAGGCAGCTAATATTAGGATGTAATAAATACACACATCATCAATGATAACTATTCTAACATAAGCATAACCGCTCTGAGTGCAAAAGATTTCACCCTCAGTCACTTTAATGGAAGGGTGTAATTTGTTTGGTCTGTTTAACACTCTGCTTGTCCACATGTTTTTAAAGCTCATTGAGGTGTGTAATATATATATATATATATATATATATATATATATATATATATATATATATATATAAATATAAATATATATATATATATGTGTGTGCAACTATAAATATATATAATGTTAAGTTTCCTGTTATGACAAAGCCTATGTGTTTTTATACTGACTGATGGAGAGCCGTGGCTCATTTTAACCCCTGGCTGCCAGAGCGCTGCAAGTGCAAGTCACAGCCTGTCGCACTAACAACCAGGGAGGAAAAGCAGCAAACAACAAACTAGACATAAAGAAGTAGAGGGAGTAATATTTGTCCAGGTCTGTGGCTGCCTAGAGGGTGTATGTCAGAAAACTGTAAAAGACTGGTATATTTAGCATTTTTATGCAGTCAGGCTACAGAATAAATAGGAACTGTTGAACTGAGCTGTTTAAAAGTTGTCAACAAGGAAGGGCAGATACTACATGAACAAAGTCCATTTTATTTTCCTTTACAATTCAAAGCTGTTGTATTAACAGACTGACCTAAATACATGGCTACTATAATTTCAGGTTACAGAGAATAATAAGCTGTGTTTTCAATATTTTATACATGCTCTTGTTGGTTGTTTTCATAGTGTTTTCATAATAAATTTTCATAATATATAGAGAAGCCAGTTTCCTTCTTCTGAATTCCAAGATTCGAAAATTATTGTCTTCTTCTTGAACTTTCAGATGGCCACTCACTAAGCCTGGCCTGGATCTGCCTGAGGTTTCTTCCTATTTAAATCACTCTTTTTCCCTGTTATTAGCTGACTAGCTAGAAAGCCCAGAGATACGAGAATTTTCGTCAGCCTCCAGTCCCCCCAACAGTACTTCACAACTCATGAATCCCTTTTAAGATGTAAATGTACCATTAGCGCTGTTGTGGGAGAACCACTCCACCCCCTTCAGTTTCGGTTTTAGCTCAAGCCTCTCTCATGAGTGTTTTACCTGAGAGCAGGGGAGGAAAAAAATCATATTTGTAATTAAATATAACTAGGTCTGCGTCATCAGTGTCGCCAACACCAGAATGATTTCAGACAACGGGGCCACCAGCGCAGCGATCAGACGATAACCGATCTGTACAATAAAAATAGCTGCATGAGATGGAAAGCAGCAAGAATATTTATACAATAATGACCATCTGTCCTATTTATTAGGGGGCAAATACAGCTCAAGTCACTTCAGCGCGGGGTTTGTGTTAACTGGTAAATGGGACAATTGTAGCTTCATATGTAGTGCTTTTCCCTGGGTAAAATAAATGTTACTACTGTTTGTCATTTTCTAAGCTGAAATATTGAATGACATGAAAAGGTGAGACAAGAAAACATACAATTGTTCTCTAAGTTGTTCTTTCTTTCAAATAGTGAGCTTTGCAATATAAATGAGTTTGTTGGTGAATGGACAATATAAATAGGCTCTGCCTTGCCTTGTTGGAAAAGCATGGTTATGACCTGTTCTCAGCTCAGGACCTAGGACCTGTATGATATCTGGTTGTTCAATAGGTTTGCCTAAATAAAATATTTAGATATGACTTATCAATATATTCATGCAAAAAAGTCTGATGTTGCAGGGGGAGGTAATGAAAAGTGCTTGGAGCATTACAATAAGGACAGTTAGCAAGGTAGAGTGAATACACAAACTTGAAGAGGGGAGGGGGGCTTGCAGAAAAACTGGAATTCTCTGGGACTTCTGGTGTTAAAGGGAGCTTTTCCTCTCCACCACCGCTGCATACATGCTTAGTGTGAGGTACTGCTGTTTATCAACCAAACAAGTTGACAAATGTCCCTTCATACTCATCCAGGAGGAGCCATTCCTGCCAAGTCAACGATTCAATGGAATTAACTTGGTTTAATAAATGATGGCTTATTTAGTGCCTCTTTAACCAGATGCTGGTTCTGTTAGTACTAAAGCTGGATACAAAAAGGAGAACATGATAAATTGTGATCTGATCTGTAGACAAGTAAAAAACAAGAAAACGAGTGAATGTCCTCATCTAATCTTTATCCTTTTTCTTTTTTTTAAAACCAACATTATATTCTCTGTTCAAGGCTTTCTCTTAGCCTATTTAGAGTGAAATAAAGCTGTTGAAAAATTATCCAACATTTTTACTGAAAGAATGTTTCAAAGAAACTGGTATTGATTTCTCCAGAGGTTGGCAAAATAACTAATTTGTTTCAACATTTTCATTTCCTCCTTCAGACACTGAAAGATCCCAACCTGTCAGCAAGGAAGGACTTCCAGAGGGAAGCAGAGCTCCTGACCAACCTGCAGCATGACCACATTGTTAAGTTCTACGGAGTCTGTGTGGATGGAGATCCGCTCATCATGGTGTTCGAATACATGAAGCATGGAGACCTGAACAAATTCCTAAGGTCAGTGTTTCACTAGATGTGCATAAAAATAAAAATTGTCATTATCAGTGATGTTGCTGGCATGGCTGTTTCTTTTAACCTTGAAGTAACCATATTAATATGTGTAGAACTCAGTTGAAATCTACGTTATCAAGCTGGGATGGCTGCCGAAAAGTCTGTTCATGAAAATTAGTGAGGTTAAGTACTGCACAGTACAGTAATCATTAGGTTTCAGGAATGCACCAGGAATGACAGGTGGGACGTGTTTATAGAATAATAAACCATTGTTGGATGTCTACGGAGATGTGTTCATGTTATCGTTCAACGATTGTTCTGACAAACCTTGGCATAAAAGGCGTTTTAAGCAACACAAAGTTGATTATTGAACTTTGTCAACCCTCTAATGAAAAAACTTTGCAAGGAAAATTGACGGATGTGGTATGCAACTTGTCAGAAGATGAATCAAAACCATCACAAATTTGCAGGTCATACTTGTGACAATTGGAGAAAACAGAGGTGGACAGGTGAGTCCTCAGAGTAGCCATGTTTGTAATGCCCTAGCATGGCCCTTCTGTCGTCATTCATGTTCTGCCCCAAATAACACTGCTGGCATGTCATTGGTCCGACTCGCTGGTGGTTACAAGACAGATGTATTAGTGGGAGTCCTTCAAGATGGATTTGTTGTGAGAATGAAAATTCTGATTTCATGACAATCAAGCTTACCAGACAGAGCTTATGATTCTTTGTCCATACCACAGAAAGTACCTTCTGTTTAGATTCTCCATATTCTCCTAGTTTGGATTTTTTTTAGATACTTAGAAATTGAGATTCAACTTCAATAAGGAAGTCAGAAAAGAATATTTAGAAAAGCGACCAAGAAGCCAATGGTAACTTTGAGGATCTGCCGCGATCCAAAACTTAGGTGTTCTGTCTGCAACATTACTATTACTGTTCCACAAGGTTTGTCATGGTTGTGAAAACATCCATCCATCCATCCATCCATCCATCCATCCATCCATCCATCCATCCATCCATCCATCCATCCATCCATCCATCCGTCATCCATTTTCCGTCATGCTTATCCCTGCTGAAGTCGTGAGAGGTGCCGGTGGTTGTAAAAACATCCTGTGGATATTTCACTTCTAGTCAAACAAATCTAGGAGTTAGAATGGCCCAGTAAAACTCAATGTTCAAATCTAAGCAAGGGTCTGTGGCAAGATGATAACCATGCACAATTCCTCTAAATCCAGTCTGAAAGAGCTATTTCCCAAACAAGAGCACTGCGCATAACTTATAACACCAAGGCCATGTTGAAACATGGAGGTGATGGAGACATGGTCGGGAAAGCTTTATTTCAGCTAGGGCAGAGTTCAACAAAATTGATTTAAAAAAAATTACTGGATCTAAATATGAAGCAACAGTATGAGGCAAAAACGAAAGTAGGAAAAAGTAAAAC